CCTGAAAATAGCTTTGTATCACAGTAATGGAAACAAACTATAGCATCTGATTTTATTGCTTTTAGGCCTTAGACTGCTGATGAGGTGGAGAACTAGTGGCAGAGGATAGCAAGGGGAAGCTGCCTCTCATGGTGGACAGAATGCAGATGGAGGGCCACCAGAGACACAGTCCCTAAGGTTATACTCCAGTGACCTACTTCCTTCAACTAGACCACATCTCAGATCTTTACCACATTGTGGTAATGCTGTTGAATCATGAATCATCAGTGGATGACATCAGAGTCTTCATGATCCAGTCACCTTCCAAAAGCCCCCCTCTGAACACTGCTACACTGGGGACCAAGCCTCCAACACAGGAGCCTTTGAGGAGCTTTCAGACCCAAACCATAGCTAGCATCTGCTTCTGTGTTAAATGTAAATTTTTATCCTGTCTCCCTAAACAATATTGCTTTGATTCCCTTCTGATTGGAGTTCAAAAAAATGTACTGTTCTGAAATTAGCTTTCTTCATTCAATGAAATATGAATCTATTATGCAGAACTATGGTTTATTACTTTTAAAAGATGCATGGTGTTGTGGCACAGAGCTATGATTATTCATATTCCTGAAATGAACGCTTGGATTATTTTCATACTCTATTATGAGCCATGTTGCCAGTATAGATATGTAAAAATTTCTCAAAGGATACATACTCAGAAGTAGAATTTCTACATATATACATATATATGTGTATACATACACACATTTTCAACTTTATAAGCTACTTGTACTTTTTTCTAAAGTGAATAGCACATTTACATCTCTCCACTAACCTATAATATCCACCAGATTCTCATCTTCCAAACCTCTGTATGATTAGATAATATTGATCAATTTACTAGCCATAGAATGTTATCCCTTTGACCTATAATTTACAAACTAAGAATAAGGCTGGGCAAGCATTCATATTTTATTTGCCTTATGGAGATAATTTCCTACAGTATATCTACCATGCAGTTTGTCTATTTTCAACAGGAATTTCATGATTGCACTGATTTTCAATACTGGGGGTTGAACCCAGGTTCTTGGGCTTCTACACTGGGTGTTTTACCACTGAGCTAACATCCCTAGTCTTTCTCTGTTTTTATTTTTAAGCTGTGACTGTCCAGATGGTCTTGAATGTCTCAATAACTGGGATGGTAGGCACATACCCCACATCTGGCTTGTAACTTTGTGGGTGTTTTTTCCTCACACATATTCTTGATATTGTCAGTGGGAGATGATATATCCTGAATATGTCTCAATATATATGTTTATTCCCATCAGTTCTCAGAGTCCTGTGGGCCTAATATTGTTGACTATATACCCATATATGCTTGCTCTACTAGTAATGGTTCCTGTATTTGTAGGAAACAGGGTTACAGTGCACTTTCTGCAAACCTTGTCTCATCTGACTGTCAACTTTAAAAAGATAAGATAGGTATTACCTTTCTTGTTTTACAGATAAGGAATTTCAGCTTGTCAAAGTTTCATGGCTAGTAAGTCCTCAGACTCAGCACCCCATATCCTCTTGATGATTAGATGATATTTCAACTTTGTAGATGACTTATTCATTTAAGAAAATTATACATCCCTGCTTAGCATCTTCACCTGCTTCTATCGCCCCCGCCCTTCCTCTCTCCCTTCACCCTCCTTTCTCCTCCTTCCTTTCTTCCCTTTCTCCCTCTCTGTTGGATATGATTTAAAATAGAACTTCTCTATGAAGTTATTCTAATTCCATTATCTGTAAGATGAACAGGTAGGGTTACAAGGTCCCAAATTATTTTCTTTTTAAAAACTTTAAAAATGACATTACTTTACAGTGTGTGTGTGGGGGGGGCACTCCCATGCCAAGGAATGTGTGTTGAGGTCAGAGGACAACTTCTGGAAGTCAATTCTTTCCTTCTACCATGTGGGTCCTGAGGATTGAACTCAGATCTTCAGGTGACAGGAGTGTTTACCCGCTGAGACGTCTCACCTGCCCACCAAGGTAACTTTCTAATAGGACTTTTTGGAGACTCTTAGAAATCAGAAATCTTAAAAGTTAGCTGTTCTATAGTAAACTATTTTTCTTAAGGGGGTGTGGGGTGGAGGTCTGAAGAGATGACTTAGCAGTTAAGAGTGCTTGCTGTTCTTGTAGAGGACGGAGGGGTTGGGTTCCCAGCACTCACACAGTGGCTCAGAACTGTCTGTAACTCCAGTTCCAGGGGGTCTGACTCTCTTCTGGCTTGGGCAGGTAGTACACCTACATACATGCAGACAAACACTCATACATAAAATAAATCTTGAAAACAAAAGCAAAACAATGGCTCTGTTATGTAAGGGGGAGCTGAATTCAAGTTCAATATTTTCTTTGCCTATAAGAAAGTTAAGAATAGAAACATAGGAAATGGCCGGGCATGGTGGCGCACGCCTGTGGTCCCAGCACTCGGGAGGCAGAGGCAGGCGGATCTCTGTGAGTTCAAGGCCAGCCTGGTCTACATAGTGAGTTAGCTGGGGCTATAGGGAGACCCTGTCTCAAAAGGACCAAATATATTTTTTAAAGTGATTCCATTATGTAACCTCCATTGGAAGGGGATGGGTGGATATCTAATATCTTCTGTGAGAGCCAGAGGAGGGTAGGTTAAGGGATACCCTGATGATTTACCCTTCAAGTAGTAAAAGTAATGCCTATTATTTTCTTGAGTTTTAAAATAAATACATTGCTACATAAATAAAAATTTTAATTAATACAACTTCTGCTGGTGAACTCTTTTAACTTTTATTTTTTTCTTTTGAGACAGGGTCTCATGTAGCCCAGACTGGCCTCTGGCCTCGAATTGAGACCAAGGATGTGTTCAGCCAAGGATGATCTTCAAGTTTTAATCTTCCTGCCTCTATCTCCGGAGGGCTAAGATTATAGGCATGTACCACCATATTTGATTTATGCAGCACTGGGGGATGAACCCAAAGCCTCATGCATGCTGGGCAAGCACTCTGCTAATCAAGCTAGACCCTTAGCCCCTGCTCGTTAACCTTTTGTTGTTTGCATGGCCAATTCTATTTTTATATACATTACAAACATCAAAGATAATTACGTTTGATGAAACTAGCAGTAACAAGAAAGGACCTGGGGATACATACGGAAACAGAGTCCTACAGTGAGGTACTTTAATCACTAGCTAGTAGGTAAACATTTAAGTACTTCCAGGGCATCCCTTGATCATAAAGAGATAGGCCCACATCATGTCTTCTCCAAGGAGTAAAGGCTTTAAAGCAACTATATTCTACAGATAATTACTAAACATGGCCTTCCCCAGATTGCTTTCTTAGAGTATTACATCTAGTAATTCAGCTAGTATTCACTCATCAAAATTTCCACATCAGTCTCCCATTTCAAGTTGGTCACCTTTCCAGTTTTCTCACGTGCTGCCTGTGGCATGTAATTTGATCTGAGTCTAAGAGCTGTGTGTTGTATGGTAAATATTGTGTGTCTGAAAATGAGCTCTATGTGTATTTCTTTTATGAGTCAGGTATTATTCCTGGCTCCTGCAGCTCACCTTAGTAGGGGATAATTATACCACAAAGTCATAGCATGAGAGCTGTATGGGGTCAGGGGAACCTAACAACAATGGAATTCAGAAATGATGTTTGGAGAGAACTAGGTGAGCTAGGTGTTGGTAATTCTGAGTCCCACATATTTTATAGTTGTGGGTTATTAGGAATGACCCACAGGTTGTAATGTAAGAGCAGAATCACTCCTAACTGGGCAGCTTCTAGAGTCACCTAGTCCAGAGGATCTCAAACAGGCAATGAACCACTTGAGAGCAGGGCACTCATTATACATATTTTATATATAATTTTATCACATTTTATTAATTCATTCAGGTGTGGGTGTCGGTCCATGTTAGTGCCAATGTGCGGTGGTTACCTACAGGAGTCAGGTCTCTCTTTTCATCTCCCGGCGGGGGGAGAGGGGACGTGGTGGTTCTGGTCATCAGGCGTGGCAGCAGGAACCTTTACCTGCTGAGCCATCTCACTGGCACTGCTCTTATTCTAAGTACATCTTCCAATGAACTGCTTTAAAAGGGGGTTTGTGGGTAAGCTGACCATGTGATTTAAAGTCCACTTTGTCTTCAGCACACAATTGGTGGCGCACTGGAACAACTGACCCAGTCGGAGTTGTCCAGGGAACTATAAAAACAGGTCACACTTTGTATAGAGAAGAGTCCCAGGCCTTTTATGATTTGGTAGACGCTTCCCTCAGGGAAAAATGTCCAACTCCCATGGCTGCTTCCTGCACAGGATAAGCCAAGGAACAAGCCTAACACTTTATAAGGGTGTGTAAATGCTTTAATTAAATATGGTGCTTTGGGCTGGATGGATGTAGCTCCGTGGCAGACCAGTTGCCTACGTGCTTGAGTTCTGACCTCTGCACCTACCTGTCCCCACTCTAAAGAAAGACTACGAGACTCTCTAGAGCCAGCAAGAAAGGAGCTCTCGGAGTAGTACTCTGTCTAGGACTCTGGGGGAGGGGGCTGGAGTGGGAAGAAACTCAGCACTATAACTCGCAAAATGTCTGACAAGGTTCTCAGGAGCCTGAAGAACAAGGGCATGACGTCTGAGTGACCCCGGTGGGGTGGCCTTGCTGTGCTCCTTGGGTAAGCAAGTCCCGGCTGAGCCAGGTCAACTGGTCATCTGAGAGTGAGCCCATGGGACCGGAAGTCCTGGAGAGGTCTTGGGGTCCAGTCAGTCCAGCTCCATCCCTTCAGAGACTTCCGGTAGGATGCTGGAGAAAGCTCTTACCGCAAAGTCCGACGGGAAGAACTGAGGCCTGGTCCTCCCATGCAGCCACTTCTCAGGCCCCGCCCACTAACCCCGGGCACGCCCACCGACACAGGCCACACCCGTCAGGCACAGGCCCCGCCCACTCCCAGCCAGATTTAAGTCTCCGGCAGCGGAGGATCAGCTCCGAGCTCCGGTCTGCGGGACTTCCGGCGGCCAGGCAGCCTGGGGCGCGAGTACGCGTGCGCGGCGTCCCAGCCGGTCCCCCTGCGGCGGGGACTTGGTACGGCCGGGCGGTTGGCGTCCCCGGCGCTGCAGCCCGCGCGCACTTTTCAAATCTTCCCGGCGTGCGCCGACCATGGAGGGGCCGCCGCGGGGGCTTCCCGCGCCGCAGGTGAGCGAGGCCCGGAGCCCAGCATGCGGGTGGGCCTTGAACAC